TGTGGCAACTACAGTAAGGATGGCTCAGGACCAGGCAGTGTTTCGTTCTGCTGTGCATAAGGTCCCTGTGAGTCGGTACTAACTCGATGGCACCTAACAACAACAAAAACCTATTTGTTGTAAACCCTAACCTTTATGCCTACAGACTGGTGTGAGAAGTTCTAGTGTGACACTGTAGCATAAGCACTGGAGTTCTCTCTGCAACATTCGTGGTTCAAATCCACAAGCTGCTCCTTGAAATTCTCAACAAGGTCTCTGTGAGCCAGAATCTACTGGACAGTTCTTAACAACAACTTCTGTGGTTATATTACTATTTGAAAGGAGTTTTCTTTGTTATGTTAATTACACAGGATTAGTGTGGCATATGTTTTGAGTCAATCTCTAACAACACTTAAAAGGAAATTAAGCAAGCAGAAATAGTGGAAGATAGATACCAAGCCACATGGTGGAGAACTCAGAGGAACCATATTACAGAAGCTGAAGAGACAAGGAGCTATCTCCCCCTAGAGAAAGCCTCCCCTTAGACCTGGCCCTTTGAAATGCCCCACTGTGAGAAGGTAAATTTGTTTGTTAAACCTATCCACTTGTGTTATTTCTTTTATAGCAGCACTAAATAACTGTGGCACAATGATGAAACACTTCTTAACCTAATACCCTGAAATTGCTCTTTTTTTTCTCACTCTGAAAACCTAGGTCACAATCATTAAGTTTAAGAAAACTCCTGGGGAAGAATTCAATTTATAAAATGTTTTTGCAAAGTATATTTTTAATAGCATATGATTTAACTCACACGAAACCTCTATGAACATAAAATATTACTTAATTTCAAACAATATTGGGTTATATCTTACTTTTAAAAAAATCAAAACCAATATACCTAGCACATTTCTTTAACATAATATTCTAGGTTTCCCAAAATGAATTAAAGACTACATAGAAATTATGAGATATTCACTGCCAAAATTGAAAAAAAGATTGTTTCATTTTCAACACAGGAAATTTATAGAAAAGCCAAGAGACTAGTTTAATTGCAAGCTAGCCAGACGTGAGAATTAAAAACAAAAAGCTCTTGATTTGTCTAGAAAACTTTTTATCACAAGTTAGAAGAAAGTAACTTTTAACAAAGTAAAAAATGGCATACTTAATATGGCCCTCACAGCCATAAATCCTACATTCTGTGATGCTTTTATTATAAATCCTAGCCTCTATGCTTGTGTTTATGGCACCATTTTGGAGTGAGTGGTCTGTTACACTGTAAAATGGTAGCATAATCATAGGCATAGAGGTTGGTATTTATAATAAATATACCACAAAATGTAGGAGCTCTGGTAGCTTTTATGGCTGTACGGGTCCATTACATTAATGAGGATTAAGGTGGGATGTTCTTGAATCTTCAGCTTACTGCAAAATGTACCTCAAGTCACTATCCTTTGTTTCCTTAGGTGGTGGTGGCTGTTCTTTACTGCCATCAAGTTGGAACCGACTCATAGCAACTCTGTACAGGGTTTCCAAGGAGCAACTGGTGTGTTGAGCTGTCAACCTTGTCGTTCAAAGTCCTGTGCTAGCCTACAGTGCCATACCAGCAGTCCTGTTTCCTCAAGTGTGTGATGCAAAAAACTAGCTGTCATCTTTGATATCCATGTTAATATAAGAATTGTTTAAAGCTGTTCTGCCAGCTTCCTGCTCAATTAAGAAAAGCAGGGAGCTGGGTTAAAAGCACTGGCTGAGAATAGACCTGGCCCACCCAATTGCTCATAAGGAATAATATATCATCAACCTGACTTTTTGAGATCATGAGGCTGAAAAAAACACCTCCATCAATGCCCTGAAAGTGGGTCAGAGGCAATCTGTGTGACCTCTCTTCCCAAATAAGGATGTGCAGAACACAAACACCAACCATTTACTGCCTAAAAAGACCCCCGACCCAGGTTTTGGAGCAGTCTCAGTAATGTGAATTCCAGTGTGTAACTTCTACTTTTGGCTCTATAACTGTGATGAACAACTTTTGCTTACTTAGTTTGTTAGTCGAGGATCCTACTTCTGTCTCAGTTCTGTCTTACCTCTGGCTCTTCTGACTTCAGCCGGCAGCCTATCACCTGATGTGATTTGCTAGCTTCTGTAGCCTTGTGAGTCTGTCACCAGGCCAATTTCTCATAAGTGAGGAAAATCCTCCATACTTACGTCTGAACTTTAGATTTGGAACTTGCAAGTCTCAACTACATGAACCATTTCCTTGACAGTTCATGCTATGAGGCATAGCAGTGAATTGTGGAACCCTGGGGTGTGAGGGAGACACAGAGGGGTAGAGTGGTGGTTGACACCAGGAATTAAGGAGTAGTATAGTACTTCACTGGTTCCATATGATAATCATGAGACTGTGAACCACAAGGTCCATGATCTGAACCACCCGACACTTCATGGGAGAATGATAAGGCTTTCTGCTCCAGTGAAGATTAAAAGTCTCATAAAGCCTCAGAAGTCTTACAAGGGGCCACTATGATTCCAAACAACTCAATGGCACTTAACAAGAACAAAAACAACAACAACAATAGTATTTTAGAAAAGTTGAGCATTTGGCATATCTTTAACCTCCACCTCACAGGGACCAGTCTCCTGGTGATCCTTTTAAAAGAAATCATTCTTGCAAGGAAACATCTCAAAAAAAGTACCAAGGATCATAAAATATAAATCACTATGCATATTGTTACTATTTTAAAAGAATACTTACGACTACTTCCAAGTTCTTCAAACAGGAATTTCACTTTTTCCCACTCTGTAGAATTTTTGTTACTGGGAACACTCAATGGAACAAAAGCACTAAAGATAAGAAAAAAATTCTGTTTAATAGTTCTAAAGAGAAAATGTAAATACAAAAAAAGGTCAGAAACCAGATTTTTAATATTTTTTTTAAACAAAGACTAACTTAAACAGTTTTATTAATACATTCAGGATAATTACTTTTCTTTATAATTCTGTCTTCTAAAAACTACACTTTGAAGCATTTTAGTTTTATAGAAAAATTGTGCAAAATGAACACTTTTTACAATAAATGAAACAACAATGACACACTATAATTAACTAAATACAGTCTTGTGTGGTGCTGTAAGATAAGCAATGGAATATAACTGCAAGTTTGGAGGCTCACACCCACCAGCTGTTCCTGAGAAACCCTATACAAGGTCACTATGAGTTGCAACCTACTCGACAGCACGTTAACAACAACAATTATTAACTAAAGCCCACAATTTACAGTTATTGTTGCTAAGTTTCATGGAGTCAGTTTTGACTCATAGTATCCCTGTACAGACTTTCCAAGGAGTGGCTGGTGGGTTTGAACTGCTGACCTTGTAGTTAGCAGCTGAGTGATTATCAATTTACATTGTTGTTAAGTGCTGTCAAGTGCTTACCTACTGCACCACACCAGCACTCCAAAATTACTTCTGCAACTGTGCTGACCGGGAAAACGAATGTGGGTCAACTGCGTGGAAGGCAGTTGTGCTAACCACTATATCACGACTTGGTCATGCTGTATTATTATTATTTTGGTATGTTATTGGAATCTCTTGGCTAGTATTCTGTTGAAATTTTTTATCTATGTTCATGAAGGAA